GAAAACTACATAAATTGACTCCATTTATGAATAATTAACGGTTTGTCCGAACGCACGGCACAGTTGGAGGCGTGGCCTGTTCAGAATGTATAGTGCCTGGGCTCCCTGTGTTTGTACAACAAGGATATAAGAACTGGAAAGAAGCAGTTGGTGTCAAAGATAGTTATCTTGACAAACATGCGAAAAGTGTTGACCACATTATTTCCACTGAAAAAGTTCGAAACTTCTTAGATTGTACTCAAAATGTCGGCACAGATATTATTTCCAAATTAAATAAAGAAGCTGCAGAGAGCCAGATTATAACAAAGAAGGGTATACTATCCATCATTGACATCGTACTTGTACTCGGGCAGCGGGGTATACCTTTTAGAGGAAACTGGGTGATGGAGGATCAGGCCGAGAATGGCAATTTTGCATTTTTCATGGATTGGAAATCAAGATATGATCATGACTTATCAGAACATTTAAAACGTGCAAGTCGAAACGCTAAATATACTTCCCCACAAATACAAAATAAATACTCCATCTTTGTGAGAAATAAATGAGAAGATCAATTGTTACTTCTATCCCCGAGTACCGGGGTATTATGGCAGATGAAACCCAGGATTGCGCAACTTGTGAACAAATCAGTCTTTGTATACGTTACGTGTACAAAGACAAATTACGAGGGAATTTCTTTGGCGTTGTACAACTGGAGAAAATGAATGCGCGTACGATAGCTGACACAATAGTTAACACACTTACAGGATATAGTTTGAATATGGATAACATGGTTGTACAGGGGTATGATGGGGCGGCAGTGATGCGTTCTGGCAAAAATGGCGTACAAGCTATTATTCAGAGACAGTACAGCAACGCAACATATGTCCATTGTCAGTCACATGCCCTCGAATTAGCTCTTGCAGCTGGTTGTAGACAGATTCCAGAAATCCGTAACTTGTTTGACAGTGTTGAAAAACTTACTTGGGTCTTTGGGTGGTAGTGCCAAACGAAAGACAATCTTTATAAGTGTAGCTAATAATAGTGATGATGATATTAGTGAACTTTTAATGGATGAAACGCAAAGGCCGACAAAAAAACATCAGTGCCCAAACTGTGTGTTACACGCTGGACGGCTAAGGTTACTACGCTGTCATCCCTGCTTGCCAAATACAAGATAATTTTAGAGTCCATGGAAGCTATTAGGGATAGAAGCAATTGTGATGCAAAACGTGACGCAAGTGTATATGCTCGTATGTTAATCAATCCCCAATTCATAGTGGCACTGGTTGTGGCTCAATTCATTTTAAGTTACTGTGCTTGTGTGACAATAATATTACAGTTGGTAAATTGTGACTTGGCGAAGGCATACAAAAACGTAAAGAAGCCATTCGCAAATCACGTTGTGATGACAGATGGGACAAGTTATGGGAAAGAATAACAAGCATTGCAGGTGCCTTGGATATCACAATCACTAAACCCAGAACTTCAGGCAGACAAGCTCATTGGTCTAATGCAGGACAAAGTTCTACTCAGACGCCCAGTGAGTATTTTAAGGTGAATGTATCTTTTCTCGGATCATGTCATCCAATTTCTTGAGACGCGATTTGCTGATCATCACTGTGATATAATAGCTGCACAAGCACTTTTACCATGCAACATTGGTCAGCTCACATCAACCCATGTGACCTCAATTAACAACTATTATGGGAAATTTTGCAAAGGGATGAATTTTTGAATATTGAAATTGAGAAGTGGATAACAAAGTTCAGTGATACACCAATTGAGCAAAGGCCCAATGATGCTGCTTCATCTCTTGCTGTTTGTGATATCGATGTCAACTATTTCTCAGCCATCCACAGAATTCTCACAACATTCTTTACAACACCTGTCGGAAGTGTGTCATGTGAACGTTCTTTTTCTGCACTTTGGCGGGTGAAGTTATGGACACGATCTAGCATGGCTCAAGACAAAGTTACTAGTATACCGAGGCACAGACATCATTCCTTCCCCAGAAGTATTTATTCGAGAAAAGCTAACTGGAGATAAATTAATATGCTATCGCCAAAGTTGTAAACATAAACTGTGTATTGTACAACTATCAATTGTATTAATCAGTCCTGCACATTAATGTTGCTTATATATGAAGATAGAACAAAAGTGTTTCAGGTATTAAAGTTCATACTGTAATACCCCGTGTTTTGTATATATTCATAAAATATATCAAGATGATTTTATTGTTAAAAATAGATAGATATACCTCCCCATAGGCATTAACATATGGCGCAACTGCACACCTCTACGCATTTATACGAAACTTAAAAAAAACACATTTGCTGCCCCCCTAGTGAAAAAAGCTAACTACGGCCCTGTTTATAACATAATCGTTCTTAATCGTGTTGCATATTTTCTCATACCAGTTAAGTTAGCCACTACTAGTATGTCCTCAAACTTAAATGTAAATAGTAAAAACATCCAGATGGAAAAACATATCGGCTTATTTTTCACTAGGTTTCTATAGATAGTGATTGTATTACTCAGCTAGATGTTAATACGTTCCTGTGGTAGCACTAAGTAAATTGATTTCACAGTAGGGGGTTACCTTGCTGCAATAGAAGCAATTCAATTGTGTGATATTGAAAAATAATATGGCATAGTTACCAAAGGTTCATTTACTTAATGTAAGGTTTATGATTGCACAATGTAATGGAATTGTAGGGACATGTCAATCAACAGAAATGTAGCCACTGCATTGTAGTGGCATCATGGCGGGCAAGACATAGCCAATGGGGATAAAACAGTACAACCCATCTCTGAGAGTATCTATTAGGGCGATCCTGTGTACATAGAGACTGAGTGTTGAGATTGACAATAGAAGAATAGTAGAGAAAAAATGAAGGGCTGGAGTTGGAGTTGGAGTTGAAGGTTAGCTGGAGAGTTGGATGTTGGGAGATGCAGTTAGGGTATAGTTGTACATATGTTCCTGTGTGAGGGGTGTATGCTGGATAAATTTATGATGTATTTACCATCAACAATTCTAAATTTAGTGATTATATTACATTGGTATATCCAGTTAAACTTGAGATTAATGATACTACTGACACTATAAAATACAATAACACTGGTACAAAGATGGTTTTAGATGGCATCAATGTCACTTGTCACTTAAAACTCAGAATACTATATAGCGGGCACCACATATGAAGCAGGATGTGTTTTCGAAACACTTGACATCACTCAATGTATACCATGGTGTCTAATTATGTTTATAGTCTGGAGATCTAATCTGATTTTTTGTCCCAGTTCGGACGATGTCCAAAAACAGGGACTATTAATTTGGGTCGTCCCGTACGTCCGGAGCTATATCTCGGGCACCCATTGACGGAATTCATTCAAACTTTACATGAAGACAATACATAATATCTTACATATGCGTGTCAATTTACTGGCGGCCATTTTGGATGTAAAATTTGCTATTTCTGATATCTAAACGTGCAGCAGTTTCTCGGAGATGACTGGGCCGATTTCGATCAAAGTTGGTATGATGATCATACATATTGGGCTGTAGGTGCACGTCATTTTTATTTCATGATTCGAACAAATACGGCCGACTGGCGGTCATTTTGTTGTTCATGGTACCCATGCTACTTTCTCTTGAATGCCATTAACGCTTATGTTTAAATTTTGTACAAAGATAGTATACCAAGAGATACAACTACACCATCATTATTTTTGTTATTCGATTCAATATGGCTGACTGACGCCCAAATTTCATGTCCGGAGCTGTTTTTTCAGAGATGACTAGGTCGATTTGGATCAAAGTTGGTATGGTGATCATACATATTGGGTTATAGGTACACATCATATTTTTTTCGTGATTCGAACAAATATGGCTGACTGGTGGCCATTTTGTCTTTCATGGTACCCATGCTACTTTCTCTTGAATGCAATGAACGTTTGTCTTTAAATTGTGTACAAAGATAGTATACCAAGGGATACGTGCGCACCAACATTATTTTTGTGATTCTATTCAATATGGCTCGCCAATACCCAATTTTCATGTAAAAGTGCTAAATCGTAATTTTTACATGTCCGGAGCCATTTCTCAGAGATGACTAGGCCGATTTGGATCAAAGTTGGTATGGTGATCATACATATTGGGTTATAGTTGCATGTCATATTTTTTCTGTGACTCAAACTAATATGGCTGACTGGTAGCCATTTTGTTTTTCATGATACCCATGCCTACTTTCCCATGAATGCAATGAACATTTCTGTTTAAATTTTGTACAAAGACAGTATACCAATAAATACATCAACATGAACATTATTTTTGTAATTTGATTCAATATGACTGCCCAATGTCAATTCTCGTGTCTTTACACTAAAATCATAATTTTTGACAAATCCATCTGCTATTAATGGTTTCTATCTAATCTCAATGACTTCATCAGCATCAAATTGATATGTCAGATCACAAAATATTGGACGGGGACTGTGTCATTAACAATGACTAGTTTGTTTTGTTTTGGGATTTTTTTTTCAATTTTTGTCAGCCATTCGTTTTCCTAATTCTACTTTTATTTGATGACGTACGTTTGGGTAAGTTATTTCCACTATAGTATTGGTTTGAAAACGTATATCTTCCAATGCTTGCGTCTTCTGGTGATTTCTGTTCGAAAATGAACATTGAATGCCACTCAAGTTGAGGAGCGTCGAACATGCATAACCCTAACCCTAGTATAACCCTAGCATGTGATCCTCTTATTAGCCAGGAAATGCTGGAAAAGCACAATGGGAAAAGTGGTGGTTTTCTTGCCAACATTGACATATGACACTGACTCAAGAATGCATACAGCCAGTAGGGTAGTTAAATTTCACCACATCATATATGGGCTCATGTGCTATACACAAGTATAAAAATATAAAAATTGTTTAAACAACGACTATATGGCTGACTAAAATTAGTAATGTTTGGTCAAACACTCTAGATAAACTCAGCATGATGTTCAACAGCTTATCTAATCATCAGGTTCCATTAATCCAGCAAACCGATTCTGCACATCACATGTCACTTCATATGACAGAAGTGGATTTGAACAAAATTCAATAGTTGGTTCATTGTTACACTCTTCTTGAGAAGGTAAATCAGTGTTCTCTGCTATGAAAGATTTAGCTAAATGCTTCTTAGATTTTGTCTGGTGGAACGCACTTGAAGGAACCACTGACATGACAGTGTGGTTCAATTCTATATACATTTCTAATACCTTTGGGATGTCTGCAAACAATTTGCTCTGCAGCCACTCAGTAGGGTCAGCTTTCTTCAATGCCTTCACTGTTGTGCTCATACTATGTACCAGACTGCCATGGAAAAGTTTGCAGATGTCAGGGGTAGGATATATCTCACCAAGCAGCGAGTTTACAAACATTGAATACTTCATACAGCTTTGCCATTGTGCACATGCTTGAAGTGCATTTAGGTCCAAATAAGACTGCTTTGACACATTTTCATACTGCCTATAAGCTGATAGAAGTAACTGCTTCAGTGGAATGTTCTTCCTTTCATCAGCATCTTTTCTTGTGCTTGTTTTCTCATGAACTGTTGGTGCATCTTGTATTGCTTTGTCACAAGCCTCAGAACCGGAATCATCTACCCCTTTAGTTTGTTCAGTGCTGAAAATATCCATAAAGTACCACCTGAGAAAACACAGTAGCAGTCCTTGGAAATGGTGAAGATGAACCTTGGGTTCTGCCATTGTAATCCAGTATATAGAAACACAAATGGGAAATTGAAGTTCCTTTGGAACTGCATCAAGTTTGGCTGCTTGAGTACCAAGAACTTCATCCAGAAGACTTTTCTTCTTCGATGGGGTTAGAGATGGTATGTCGAAGAGTGTAGGTAGCTCTCCATAGAGAGGAAGTGAGCCCAATGCTTCAATGAAACATTGTTTCAAAGATGACTTGTATCTGGTAAATTCTTCAACAAAAAGTGGCTTATTAAATGCATGTTGACACAGGGGTTTTGATTTGAGTGGAGTCTGAGTTTGAGTTGTTCCATCCTGCCATTCTACTCCTGCTCGAGCTTGGGTATTCAGGCATGAATCCTGTCCTTCAATATCTTTCACACTTTTCAGAAGAATGCCATATAGAAGTCTTCTAATCATGCAAGAAGAATTGTGACAACTTGGCTCGTCTACATCTTCTAACATATCATAGGTGAAATACCTTTTTTGTGACATGACATTCACACAAAATGAAGGTAATCGACCTTGCCTGAATAAAGCCACACACCAGCCTGGTAATGTGGGGCCTTCATAAATCTCCAAGACACTTGAATCAAGATGATTTCTCTCAAAATAATTAACAAATTTTGACCCCATTTCTAGATTGTACATCTCCATGGAGGCTTCAAGATTTGCTTGTATGTCTCTACGTGATGCTTTCCTTGTACATTTCAGTACATCTGTAATAGCACTACTTACTGATTCATACTTGGATAACCAGTTAATAGTTCCCTTAATATGTATATGTCTTTTGGAAACACGTCGCAAGCACTGTCCTGGAAGTTTTACCTGGCAAAAGAAATCATTGAACATTTCTGGTGCTATGTAGTCATTTCCAAGTAAACTTGCCATCAGGGGAACCATATCCTCATTTACACTGAAGTGTGAACAGAATTTTGACAACCTATACATTTCAGTCTTCAAACAGTAACTCCCAAGTTTGCGAGTCTTTCCTCCTAAGACTGGATACTCATCTGTAGGTAAGATGTCGCTTTCTTCATACAATGGACAGGGATTCTTCCACCAAAGATAATTAAGAGGTATATAACCTGCTCTGATATCAAACACATAAAAATCACTATCCTGTCCAATAACTGGACATCTCCATGAGTTGGCCAGAGCAACAATCTCATTATCAGCTTCAAAATCACAATAAATATAAGGAATGTCAAGCTTCTTGAGGACTTTTAGAAAAACTTCAAAGGCAAACAGAGGTAAGATTTTATCTCCACCACCTTTAATGATATTAAGTGCACGCTGAACTTGTTGTTTGGCACGACTTTTAACAGTTGCAAGTTTCCGATCATTCAGGTCATATGCACCATCAAAGAGGATATAAGGCTGAACCTTGCATAACTTAAATGACTTGAAGAATCTGTAACACAGCTCTTGAAAGTCTCTGTAGTTGCCACCATGGCGGAAGTCAATCTTGTTTTGAAAGTAAAGCCAGTGTACAACGCCATGGCCATCAATAACTACCTGTGTATCATGAAGATTGTGAGACTGCAATAGTTGGCGATTATTGTCGATGAAGGAAGTGAGACCAAGAACGCCCATCTTGGTGTGAAATATTGTTATCTGTCTCCATTCAATCTGGAATAGAAAAATATTTACTAGTATATATGTGTACATGTTTAGTCATAGATGCAGATTCATGGAAACTTGTAGCTTTTGAAACATACTGAAAAATACACTGCACGATTTTCGAAAGCTGCATAATTTGCATCGTTGTAAATGAAATGTAAATGAAAAGTATAATACACAGTAATCAGTCAATTGTGAATGATTATGCAAATGAGTCATTCTCTGAATATTTTCAACTGATCAGGGAAGCCTGACACAAGTAATAATACAACTTATTGTTTTAAATCCAGTTACTATTATTGTAATTTTTTGAGAATTC